GTTTCTTTAGTTTCGAATTCTTCAGATTTTCAATCTGCTCTTCCTTACTGTGTTCCCCGTATGTACACCAAGGTTGATAGCTCTTGTTTTTATTCGGCAATTTAAATAGTTGTTTTATTCCGAACATTTGAATAGCTGCGTGGATCAGAATATTAATTTTCTCTTCTACTGTCATTAATATTTTGCTTGGTACATCCTGGTGGGGGCTATTAGATTATATTTTTAAAACTCTATCAAGTTTAAAATTGATGTTCGACTAATCCATCAGCTCTACATTTTGATTATACGAGTGAGGTTTGGCTTGGTTCCAGGGTTTGATTACATTACACTTGGTCCTTAAACTTTGTTTTCTTACAGTTTTTTGTCAGTTTTCTTAGTTCATATTAATTCACATTCACAGGATGTCACACAATGGATGTCTGAAAATAAACATTTTTAGCTCAATGGAATATTTTCATAGTTGTGGTATTAGCAGATAAACGTCCTTTCCTACCATTCGATAAAAATACCTTTGTGCTTTTACACTTTTTCGTATTTTCCAGAAGCAATGTTATTTCATAATTGTCACACTTTAATAGTTTAATTCTGTCTAGCTGTAATATTCTAATGGCTATGCCTAGTTCCCCCCCCCCCCCACCCGACTGAGTCTACATTTATAGTATAAGCCTAGATCTATATGGAATAGTCCTGAAGACAGTTGTTAGTTTTCTTAGTTCATATTAATTCACATTCACAGGATGTCACACAATGGATGTCTGAAAATAAACATTTTTAGCTCAATGGAATATTTTCATAGTTGTGGTATTAGCAGATAAGCGTCCTTTCCTACCATTCGATAAAAATACCTTTGTGCTTTTACACTTTTTCGTATTTTCCAGAAGCAATGTTATTTCATAATTGTCACACTTTAATAGTTTAATTCTGTCTAGCTGTAATATTCTAATGGCTATGCCTAGTTCCCCCCCCCCCCCCCACCCGACTGAGTCTACATTTATAGTATAAGCCTAGATCTATATGGAATAGTCCTGAAGACAGTTTTTATTAATGGCTTCGGTTTTAGCATTACACAATTTAGTCAACATTTGTTTACATGTGTTTATTTTGCTAGTGTTGAGAGCTTTTCCCTATTACCTATGAACATCATTCTATAATGGCTGTGGGTGATTTAAGGGTTGTTGTTAGGGTGAATGTTTTTGGATTGGTTTCCATTGAGGTAACTGGTACTATTGTTTTTGGTTGTCCTTGATGCAATAAATACTACTGTTGTTTATTTTGCTGCTCTTGTTGAGTTAGATACTGATATTGTAGTAGTTGTTGTTCTTTTTTGCAGTATTGTTGTTGTTGTTGGTGAATGGGACAGCAGAATATGTTGTTGTTGTTGGTGAATGGGACAGCAGAATATGTTGTTGTTGTTGGTGAATGGGACAGCAGAATATGTTGTTGTTGTTGGTGAATGGGACAGCTGAATATGTTGTTGTTGTTGGTGAATGGGACAGCTGAATATGTTGTTGTTGTTGGTGAATGGGACAGCTGAATATGTTGTTGTTGTTGGTGAATGGGACAGCAGAATATGTTGTTGTTGTTGGTGAATGGGACAGCAGAATATGTTGTTGTTGTTGGTGAATGGGACAGCAGAATATGTTGTTGTTGTTGGTGAATGGGACAGCAGAATATGTTGTTGTTGTTGGTGAATGGGACAGCTGAATATGTTGTTGTTGTTGGTGAATGGGACAGCAGAATATGTTGTTGTTGTTGGTGAATGGGACAGCAGAATATGTTGTTGTTGTTGGTGAATGGGACAGCAGAATATGTTGTTGTTGTTGGTGAATGGGACAGTTGAATATGTTGTTGTTGTTGGTGAATGGGACAGCAGAATATGTTGTTGTTGTTGGTGAATGGGACAGCTGAATATGTTGTCGTTGTTGGTGAATGGGACAGCAGAATATGTTGTTGTTGTTGGTGAATGGGACAGCAGAATATGTTGTTGTTGTTGGTGAATGGGACAGCAGAATATGTTGTTGTTGGTGAATGGGACAGCTGAATATGTTGTTGTTGTTGGTGAATGGGACAGCTGAATATGTTGTTGTTGTTAGTGAATGGGACAGTTGAATATGTTGTTGTTGTTGGTGAATGGGACAGCTGAATATGTTGTTGTTGTTGGTGAATGGGACAGCAGAATATGTTGTTGTTGTTGGTGAATGGGACAGCTGAATATGTTGTTGTTGTTGGTGAATGGGACAGCTGAATATGTTGTTGTTGCTCCCTTGGGCATCGGTGCGTTTCTTGTTGCCAATATCTATGGTTAGGTTGACTTTGCTTTTCTTGTTGAGAGGTGGTAATGCTGGTTCTCGATGCTGTTGGGGGGATTTTTTGTAAGGATGTTTTCCTTGAAGATAGATGGTACTGATGTTGTAATGGTTGTTCTTGTTGTATTGAATGGTATTGCTGCTTGACATTGTCACAGAGGTTCTGTTTAACCTGACAATTTTTCTAATAACTCTTACTGCCTGTCCGCTATGACATCCAGCTATACTTCTTGTGGTATCAGTAGTCACTCCCACTAATTTATTCCAATGAAGAGAAACATCCTCCATGATGTCTGAAACATCTATGGACAGGTCTTTGCCAGTGGTGGTTCTATGCACGCTCCACATTGCGTAGTTTTGTCGGGTTAAAGAAATAAGTGTGTACAATTTAAGCTTGACACGAGATTGGGTATGGGAAAAATAACGTGTACAAAACTTTAAGGCTTACGATAAGTGTTAATCTAGACCAGTGTCTTCAATATAAGATGCAGCTTTCTAATTCAGAATATTATAAAGTCTAGTAGGTTTATATACTTTATATTATATTTTGAGTTGTACAATGGAGGTATAGTCTTTAAAAATGTATTTTTGTAAAGTTTTTCTTTATAATTATTTTTCTTGTTTTTAAACTTAGGGCCTACTACATTTGAGTTATTATCTAATTAAATAAGAGGTTTATAGAGATTGCGATATAACCTTCTGGATTTTGAATAAGTTCAATTGCCATGACATAATTGCCCTTGCATAATTAAATTCAATCATTATGTAATTAAAATGTTGAACTTTCTTTTGCTATTTGTACCTCGACTGACGTTGATTGGCCTTTTTTTTTTTTTAACTGAACAAAACAAAACAATTTGTGCAATCAGCCTCTTTACTTACTTGTAGACTCAGAACCTTCCGCACCTTTTAGCGCATTGGACAGCAAGCTGTCTTAAAGATTGGCCACTGTCCATGTCTGAAGCCTTCTTCTAACTGGTGTTCACTGCTCTAACGTCCTTCATAATAGTGTGGCGCCAAGTTATACGAGGACGTCCCATGTCATCGCAACTCCTGGTATTCATTCTGTCGGAGAAGATGTCCTGCAAACCTCATGCGATGTTCTGTCACAACCTCACTAAGTGGTAGACTCCCAGTGCGGTATAGAATTTCCTTGTTTGAGACCCGATCTTTGTAACTGACTCCTAAAATCCGACTTAGCCATTTTTGTTGAGTCACATTTAGGTTTTCCTCAATTTCAGCATCCATACCTTGCTGTTGGTCTCCGCATAAACTTGGCTACAACTAAGTAAATCAAATTGCGTTTAGTAAATGGTTGAAGATGCGTAAGACGTATCCAGACGCAGTTTTTTATTCCTCATGCGTACCAACAGGCAAAACATTTTATTGCGTTGTTTTTTTTTAAAATTAAAAGCCTTATCATATTACATATTGTTGTATTAAGGACGAATTTTCCGCACTTAAATCTTTTATTTGTTTGCAGTTTGATCTGCATTACATTGCAAAGTAAAATACAAAACATTCATTAAAGATAAAATGGGGTGTGTAGCCTAGAGGTTAAGTACTCTTGAACTTGACTTGGCTACATATCAAGGGGGCTCGAGGATCGACACCTGACTCGGGTAGAGTTGTTTTAACTGAGCGTCTTTAGGCAGCAGGGTAAACCTTCTCCCAGATACCCCCATACCACCACTAGTCCACAAATAAAATTATACCATAGCGCTCTGAAAATGATATAAGCATGTATACAATCTATTCCAAAAAAAAAAAATAATTAAGAAACTATACAGAGAGATTTAGGTAGAAATGTTGAAATAAATAAATTAATTAATCATTTTCGAGAACACTTAACTGAAATATCATTTATGCGAACTCACTATCTCGAATAGCTGATGCTTGAAAAGCAGAATGCCAGAGATCGGCTATGGCTAATTAAGGAGACGTATAGCAGTGGTCTTAAGTTGACGACAAATAGTTGGCACCGATGTAATGTTGTTTCAGAACTGTGATGATTGGTTCTAATAATCCGCGCAGAAGTGAATGCAGCTTCTGTCTGTAATTTATGGCCTACTTTTGTAGTACTTATGTTTAAAATTAGTAGTTTTAATGTATTGTTGTAACTCCGCTCCCGCGCCACACTGATGGTGCGCATTAGAGCACTATTAAACACTAGTAGTGGAGAAGACATGTTTATTTTACAGGAAGAGGGACTGTTGTGGATCAGGCTTGAGTGATCTGCAAGTTATTTAAGTTTGAGCTGTCTTGACTCAAGAGAACGTCCTTTGTGCTGTGAACTGTGTTGAGCACCTGGGGCGTGTCGATGGTTTGTACTGGTATTTAGGTAGAGAAGGACTGGTGTCACTTAAGATAAGACACTCTAGAACTTGATAGCTGAAGTCCACGCCTGTTTGTATTGTAAATAAATAACTCATTTATTATGACCTCCTGCCTTTCGTTGAGTGCTTGCCTTAGAGTTACAACAAAATGGACGACGATGTATTGCAGTATAGGAGTAATCATTTAAATACCGTTCAGTAATTTTCTTATGATTAATTAATGGTAAATTATATTACACTACTGTAAAGATTCCTTCCTTCTAACTCCATATGCCGATGGTAGCTTAAATGTATGCGGATATACATTACTATGTATTAATATACTTTTTCCGGTATGAGACACTATGATTACAATATATAAAAATACTAAAGTTTATTACATCAAAGAATACACATTACAACAGATTAATAAAATATACATATTTTAACAGCAACCCAAACGAAAAATATTCCTTACAGATGTGGCGAAATCAATAAATTGTAAAAAAAAAAACAACAAATAATGAAATATAACAAAAACATTTTCTAAAATTGAAATAAACGAAAGAAGACCATTCATCAACGTAGTTGATGGCTTTAAATTGTTTCAAAATGACGTTTTTTCTCAGCAATTTTAACAAATAGTCGAGTAGGATTTATGGTCTAATGTCTAAAGGAGTTACCTAAAGCGGATAAGTATCTATAGATAAATTGTGTAGTGTATCTGCCTTTACCGTGTAATACAGTTGAAGTAGAAAAGTGCAATTGGTCTACGTCTGTTATGCATTTTTTAAAAGATGAATAATTTGTTTTTATCGATTTTTAAAATGGTTTTAAGGTATTACTTCGATTAGTCTTGATTAAATTGTTATGATATGTATATAATCTCTTGGTAATAAATTGTACAACTTCAATTTAGACAATTATCTATCTTCTTAAATTAATTGATATATACGATGTAAACATTCTCTTTCAATAATGAAATATAATCTTTCTTTTCAAAATAATTAAAAATAATTGTTATTATGCATTAAGAGATGAAAAAAATAGCAGTTTTATGACATAAACCGGGTGCTATTTTTACTAAACTAAAAAGTAATAATGTGCGTAATGTATTTATAATTGTTGCACGTTGGAAATATTATGACATTAATACATAAAAGAAAATCATCGCCTACAAAGTCCGCATCCCTAATGAGGAAATTCGAAACAGGATCAAAATGACATTTGGGCACCACGATGGTCTGCTGACAACAAGCTTAAAACGCGTACGTAAACTGTAAGGCCTCAATATGAGGTCCTATGGTTCGCAAAGACCTTCTTTTAAAGAACAGTAACACGCAAAAAAGAAGAGGCATACAGAGAAAGGAATATAAAAAAACAATCAAAGAAAATATTCTAGTCAAGTCAAAAGACAGTGGGAAAAGGTGAAAAACCTCGACAGATCATGTGTGATACCAAAAAGGTTTAATTGATTAAAGGATCGCTAAAGGTAAATGTGATACAAACATCGATATATGAAAAATATATTTATTAACTTAAAAGCTGCCTGGATGTCTGCGTTGTCTTGCGGTATGCGCAAAAGACTTTCGTTCATACCCTGCCCGCTGCATTCCGTTGTCGTACTGCTGGAGATTTGAACTAGGAAGTAAATTATGTTAAATTCAGAATGAAATTCCGAAACATTTAAAACATTTTACAAAGCTGATAAAAAGTGAGCTAAAATTTCATGAAAGTAAGTCATCGTAAAATTATATTATCGTAATCTTTTACTTCAATATTACTCATTAGTAAAAGTACATGAATAAAACAAAACAAAGCAAAGTTACAATTGCAATGACTACAACAAGATATACAGAAATGCTCCAGCACTTCCTTGACAATATAGATTATATATATATATATATCAACTTGTACTTTAATCATTATACAAAATTGCAAGTGAATAAATATTGCAATGACTACTACAAGATATACAGAAATGCTCCAGCACTTCCTGGACATGTGTTTGTTGAATATGTTAAAACACTATGACCATCAGAAATTTCCTTTCTCTCATCTGACTTACCAATAGTAACTTTCTTGGGGGTGCCATGCGGATGCGATACTATGACAACAAGTTTTTCTGCGTTTTTAACATCCCAAAACTTTTCAAAGACTTTCTCATAAAGCTCGCTGGATTTGTCAAGCATGCCACTAATTCGATTGGATAACGCTTCATCACAAGTGATACAGATGAGTCTACAGATGTCGCTATTTTGCGAAGAATTCACGACCCTCAAACCTTCCACATTTACTAACGAACTGTCGCTGGTGTCGTAAAATAACCTACACTTCGAGTTTTTGGCATCTTCCTTTACAATGTGTGTCACTGTCAGGATTTCTATCTCCCACCAATTTTCTCTTGGGTTTTTTGAGTCCATACAGCCTGAACAAGGGCATTTTATATTATGTAAATTTTGTGTGATGTCTATAATTTTACCACTTGCAGTCCGTACTCCTTCTGCAACCGAGACACTGACTTTGACTGTTAATTCACCTAAAAGTTTTACGGAATCTACCAAGTCTTGATCTTGGTAATTGACAGGGAAATGGGACGTCTTCAGTTCTTTGACAGGTATGAATCCAGCATGTCCTGGGTTTTTCGTACACTTTTCTTCAGAGTTTTCAAAATCAATTTCAACCTCTAAAATACAATAATAAATATTAGTGTTTAAAAATACATAAACTTAAATTTAAAGCAGCTTTGCAAAATATACTTTCGTTAACTTTAGTGTATTACATAATTTTTATCATTTTCATTAATTTTTCTGGATTTGAAAAGTTACTTTTTCATTTATCATCTGATAATAAACTACTCTAATAACATTTAACTGGTACTTATCCCTTTAATTTCTCTTCCCCACTAAAAGGTCACAATTTTTACTATGGGTTACCGGAAAACCTACTGAATGAAACGAGGACGGCAATAGGGGTAGAGCTTTATAAAAGGATAAAAAGCCAAAGTAAAATTTTAATACTAATTAATATAACATCTAGAAGCTTTATCGTTGACAGTTCAGCTAACTAATGGCTACTGAACAACTATATAATGTTTCTCAAACTTTTAGTACTGAAGCATTAGAGGTTAGCCTAGTTAGCCAGCTAGAGTTGTTTTTTTGGGGGGGATTCCTCTAGGTTTTTTTCAGCGGCATCTCTGCAACTTTTTTCAGGTTGAAAAATGTACAGAGTAAAAGTGTGTTTTTTTAAATGACTAGTTCTCTCTCTTTGCAGACGCATCTCCAGCGGAGAGTGTTAGGGTTGACCAGTTTATTGTCATCGTTTGTAAATGTGTGTGTGGGGGTATTTGTTTATTGGTAGACTAAATTAATTAGATGACCTTGATGTAAAAAAAAATCTAGTTTAGAAATATTTAGAACTAGATAGATGGTAGACGGTTGAATTTCAAGAAACGTAAAGAAAATATTATTAATGACGTGAATTATCCTGACATACTAGATATGGAACGTACAGCTTGCTATCAGATCATTGTTCAAGTTCGTTGTTCCAAGTCATAATTCAGTGAAGATGGATAAAGTCGTGAGAAAAAAACAATATCGTTTATCAGTATCACAAATAAAAGGGATACAAAACAAGATCACAAATGCATATATGGCGTTACTATGAACTGCTGATGACAATAAAAACGCAAACTAAAACTTAATGACCATTCCACAAGATCCTAAGGGCTAGCAAAGGTCTTACTTAAGAGAACAGGAAGCGATGGAAAAAATTATTAAAGAGGTCCTAGTCTCATCTGTACCTTGACTTTCGTCGTAGGGGTGTTGTGGCAGTTTGGCTAACAATGTTAAGGCAAAGGACAGAGTGTAATTGATAAGGGCGCTGAAATGTCATGTGTCATGATGTCAGGTGCCATAAAAAAGGTTTAAAAGACTAATGGATAAGTGAAAGTACGAAAATAGTAATTCGGTTTGGTGTTTTCCGCTGTGTAAAATAGTATTCTAAATAAAAAAAAAAAGAAATATCAATTGCAAAGCATGAAAATAACATTAAAAAATTAATTGAGTGCTATGTATAAATTAAAAGTACCTAAATTGTTCCTGAATTCTTTGAGTTTAGAATCGTAATCGTCAATGCGCCTTTGTTTAGGACATTCAAATTCTTTAGCACCTCCGATTGTTCCAGAATACTTTGATAAATCTTAAACATAAAAAATTAAATTAAACAAATAGTTACATTTTTTAAAATGTTATAAAACTAAGACTAAGACTGCTTTATTGATCCATATAGAAATTTGTTGTGATTACAAGAACTCTTTTCTCATACACAGACATCACAACAGAAACATACACATAAATAGAACAGAGACAACATAAAGAGTTCATTTAGCGACTACACACAGGCATCTTGGTCCTTTTCATGTGTTTCCTAATCAAATATGGTGTTGAAATAGTCTGACCGAGTAAGGTACGAACGAGTTTTGGTACCGCTCTGTTCTTGTCTTGATTGACAGCAGTCGCCCACTTTGCGAGGTCATGACGTAGTTATGATGGAGCGGGTGGCTGTTGTCTTCCAAGATTTTTCGCAGGGCTGTTTTCTTTGTCAGTCTTCTCATGAGAGCTAGTTATCAATGATGTCGCCTAAAAATTTATATGATTTTACTTGTTCTATCAATGTAGTCTTTATCTGAAGTTCGTGTATCATCTGATTTTTCTTTCTGAAAGTTCTTTAGTTTTTGTGACATTCAGTTTTAGAAAGTTGTCAGTGACTCAGTGCACCAGTTTGTAAACTCTTCTATTATGCTTCGATACTGAGTTTCGTCTCCTGAAATAAGACCGACTATGGCAGTATCATCAGCAAATTTAATGAGTTTAACTGAGTCATAGATGTTTTTATGTCATTAGTGTAAAGAGTATACAGTACAGGAGAAAGTACACAATCTTTTTTGTGGACCAGTTGTGTGTATGTGTTGGGGTAACTTGAAGAAAGCTTCCATGTTGCCTTTAGGCCCTCAGCTATCGAGCTCAAGCCCTCTTGTTAAGTAGCCAAATCTTTGCCAAGCGGGTCCTTAGTCCCTTTTATTATATTTTTTTAGAAATACCTGAAAATGTAGAAAAATCTTTTCTTTCCATGTCCAGGCATATTTCTGAGGCGCGTTGGCTGAGCGGTAAAACGCTTGGCTTCCGAACCAGGGGTTCCGGGTTCAAATCCTAGTGAAGACTGGAATTTTTAATTTCTGGATCTTTGGGCACATCTGAGTGCTCCCAGATTTAGACATTAGTTGAAGAAAAGTAAAGGCGGTTGTTCCATATGCTGGCCGCACGATACCCTCATTAACTGTGGGCCATAGAAACAGATTACCTTTACATTTCCTGAAAGGGGAATGTTTCTTTTTTTCTAGGCGTTCTTCATGATACTTGGTTATTGCATAGGTTTATTATTATTTACACAGGATGGTGTAATATATATATGTATACAAATATATACAATATATAAAGACATCTGCAGTTAATATATTCTGGGCTAATTAACTGAAAGGGAATGGGCTTTAGATGGTATCTGTCGATAAACATAAAAAAAGTAAAACAAAACAAAATCCTGTTATAAAAGACAAAGCTTATCTAAAAAGAAAGAACTTCACCCTTAAAACTATATCTATTATAATAATAATTAATAATTTCCATCATTTGATATAAACAAATAATTACCAATAATTAATTGACTAATTTGTTATTTTTTTAATTGATTTAATTTGAACAAATTTAGCCATACCTGTGAATACTGAATCAGTAGTTTCCCTTGTTGGCATTAAAATAATTAATTACCACTAATTAATTGACTAATAAACTTTTTTTTTTCTTTTTTACTTATTGGTCTCTGGTCAATGCCAAAGGATAATTATGCAAAGTTTCTGCTCCATTCGAGAATGAGTGGTGGGAAAAATAACGTGTACACAATTTTTACACGACAGACAGAGTGTGTTGGTTTAGGTTTGGAAAACGTCTCGTCTACCAAATTTTTAGTATATACGCTGTTTTGTGGGGGGGGGGGTTTGTTTGTTTTAGCACTTTTGAACTTTTTCTCAGTCATAGCTTCTTATAAGTTATCTTTAATTTAAACAAAATGCTTTGAGACCCTTTGTCTGTGGCATTTGACGTCTCGAGAGACGATCTTTTCCCTCTCTTTGCAACTTCTTGTGTGACTAAAGAGGCCAATTCTTAATACACGGCTGCGGTCGCAGGTTAGGCATATATATAATCACCAGGCGCGGTTGCAATTTCACCCTTCATTCTGCTTCTGTTGTGTAAGACATCTGCAATACGGGACACTTCCTTTATGCTCGCTCTCCAAATGGATCTATTCAGTGCCACTTTTTCCCGGCTACTAGTGTCGATTTTGAAGAGCTTTATGTCGAGTTTGCATACATCCGTATAACGTAAAATGGGCGACCAGCGACTCTCCTGCCTTCTATTAGATCGCCATACAAAATGTCTAGTGAAAGTCAACCTACTGGCATTCTACTAACGTGGCCAAGCCAGCCAAGGCGCCTGCTGCTGATAACAGAGCGGATGTGCTTGCACCCTGCTCTTCGTAGCACCCCTCGTAGCTTAACAGTTACCTTCAAACATAATTCGAGGACAAAAATGAAACAAAGCCTTACAAAGGATAACAGAAACATAACAAAAAGATGACAGTAAACATAAAAAAAACTAGGTTTTCAACGTGTTTTAATGAAATCAGATTTAGACAGTTTATAGGCACTGCTTACTGTTAGGCAATTTTTTTTTGTGATTTGAAAGCAAGAACCTCAAAAGGCCTCTTTTAAGTCCAAGCTCAGGCGCCGTCAAACATTGCATGATAGCAGTAAGATATCCAAGATGAAAATAAAGACTA